TTATGCGAATTATTGTAAGCTTACCGTTATGTATTTATTGAGCCAACTTGACTGGGCTACCTTTATTTTTTTATGAATTCGGATGTTAGTCTTTAGTGGAATTTTAAACTAATACTTTTGGTTTTTTAAGTAAAAGTTTATTTTTAAATGAATTTAATTTTTTTATAAAGTACTTTATTCACAGGCCAGCATTTTTTCCCTTTAAAAACACGTAACTTTTATCGGAAACTTTTTTTCTAGAAAAACATTCAACCTGTAAATCACATCTAATCTCTAAATCGTCCTAAATTTCTCTCAGCTCTCACCTTCACACGGAAGTAGTCTTCCGATAGAATGTTTTGTTTTTCGATAAAAAAAATTTTGTATGTAATCTTAGTCTTTCTTTCGTAGCTGTGGAAATCGGGCAAGTGAAATTAGTTTATTACATTCCTCCGTCTAGAACGTGAGTTTGAACTTATAAAGTATTAATTCATCCAACTCAGTTATTATTTCTCAAATACCTACATATGTACCTAGGTATACCAAAAATAATTCTTTTTTCATAAATGGGGTATTCCAATGAGGATTTCGACGAGAATAAGAACCAAAGGTATTGTGCGGCTTGACCACAATAAAGGAAAAACCATTCGTTGACCAGTTAGAGATTTAAGATCTGTGGTAAAAAAAAACACGTATGTCCCATTTAAACGAATGGACTTCCGATCTGTTTATCGCATTACCGATTGTAAAATTCAATGATACGTTTTTTTTGTTTGAAATATGAAAAGGAAATACTGTTAAAGGGGAAAAAATAACAATTGATTAAGCGGAAGTGATCAGCCGCAGAGCAGTAATTTTCACTGCGATTATGTAGAGAATTTCTTTCTGTACAAAACGATATACTCTGGTTATAATTTTAAAAGTCTGCTTTTGATCAATAACAGCTTTACCTCTGGATGGAGTTTTGGCAAATTGGTAGTTGATACTCGGTACTCGATAAAATTTTTAACTGTGAACTCCTTTTCAGCTTGGTGTTGGTAATCTGGCAAATTATATAATTTGATTCTTCTTACATGGAGAAATTATAAAAACTGTTCAGTTTTGAAAAAATCGGTTTGTACCTTAGTTTTAAGCAGAAAAGCTTACATCTGAAAGATGGTCACAATCGGAATATAATAAACTACTTAGTTTTGTAATAACACGATTTTTTTTTTTAATGCCCGACTTTGTCATTTGTCATTTTTGCCATTTAATGTCTAGTAGAAATCCAGCATAAGTCATTTTTTATGTCAGTACTTTTTTTAAGTACGACTTTCTTCGGGCATAAGAGCGACATATGAAATAATGGTCGTGTACATCTATACTTGGGGTGTAAGAGCACGCGTATCGTCAATTGCCATTTAAAATTAATAACTCTGATTTTATGGACAATTATATAATATATATAAGCGCGCATAAATAAAGTGTATCGCTAAAACTCCATAAAAATGTTTAGCGTAGATATGTATGCGTTAAAAACGCCTAATAAGTACATCCGCTAACGATATATGAATACATATATTTAGATATATCACCCGCAACCGTATTCGTTACAATTATTGTTGCCATCAATGACTATTGGTATCATAACAGGATTCCTTAACTGAATGTATTTGTATCTACCTTCGTTATTTGCATTGTCTCTTTATAAATATAAATTTAGCTTCAAGGCTAAACAAACAAGATGGATTTAATTATGCAAACATTTATATCACTTTATATTTCCAGTAAATTCCGAATACTTTAACCGTTAACCTTAACCGTTAGCTAATCGCATGGCATTTGATTTTCAAGAAGTATTCTTTTCTATATGAATGATAATAAAAAATCATTTGAGAGATTTTTATTAGAATTCAATGTTTTCGTTTTTTAATCTAAAAGTAGCTTGCGTCCTTTTCTGAATCTATGGCTATACGATCGTGGGTAATGCGCCTAATTGTTAAACAGCAAATTAAACTCGATTAGAAAACATAGAACTTATGAAATCAATTGCATACGAATAATACTATATGGGCATTCCCATGGTGGCGCACGTGACAGTCGTACGATTTCAATGTGATACAAAAAAGGAATACCATTTGTTTTCTTTAACTTTTTTGGGCCATTGTATAGCACATAATTAGCTCTATATTTAATCGAAAAATGAAATCAATCGAATTGCTTAATCCTGAAATATAAGCATTTAAAGAGAGTGTCGTTACGTGACAAAAAATGGAAGTTGATTTTTTCTTTTCTTACAAAATCGCAAAACTCTGCGAATTGTGGATGGCTATTTTCATGAAACTTATTTTAATATGATTTGGAGCAATTCTAGTTGTTTTTAGAGTTTTTTGAATTAATGCAAATTGTTTCAATTCTCTTTTACAACCCCAAGTGTGAAACGTGACGTGACGTGGCGTCACGTGACATAAATTTCCATCGTTATATTTTTGTTAATATTGCTTTTAAATGAATTTTCAACGCAAATAAAACATGTATTTTATGTAGAATATACTTTATATTTTGACTTCAGCGCCAATTCAGGGTCAATTTATTAGAAATCTATGATTTATTATGTTTCAACCACATACGCCAAATTCGAACCAAATCGGGCCATAAATACGGTTTTTCGAAATATCTCGACCTTGCCATCACCTATGAAGACCATTTTATGCAAACATGATTCTACTTACATAGCCAGTATATATTTTAAAAAGCAGAAAAATCGGCCCGTAAATACGTTAGATATAAAACTTTTATTTTTTTTTGTCGTGGTGGACCTTCCGCTGGAAACACCCATATGTGTATAATAATATGCATACATGCATGTTTGCACACTGAATTTGCGTAACTTTACGAATATTCAACTAATGTACATAAGTAAATGCAACATTGAGTTCAAATTACTCTAACGAAATTACATACACTTAAAAATTCTATATTCAAAAACACAAGACTAGAGCATTTACTTTGTGATTTATGCTTTAATTACTCGCTTAGAGTTGAGGATTATCTAACCCCTCAAGAATTGCCATTTCTGGGACGCATCCCATTTTTTTTACATAAATGTTTTGGGGATGCTTAAAGAACTGCAGGAAATCACCCCATATTGGAGTATTTACAGATAAGTATTTTTAATCAAATGCTCATAATTATAAATGAAATTATAGTTCAAAAACTAAAACCCCCTATTATAATTGCCATTCGTACTGTCATCAGGTATGTAACTTGAGAATAGAAATCTTTTAGGCGCATCAATATTACATAGTTACATCCCGAGCTAATAAAGGGAAGGTAAAAAGAAAGCAACTGCTAAAAATTCAATGTTCTTCAGAAAGATTATGAATAAATACAATCCTACGTAGTGCCAAATGAATGAGTAAAAACTTTGTAAAAACTACTTTATAGGTACAAATTAAAATACTTCAGATGATATGATGAGCTTGAAATATTATTTGGGAGATACCATAGGGGTATTCACGATCCAGTGCATACTGTCTATCATGGTGCATAGATGGCATAAATAGCATGATTGGCTAAATTTAAGAAACCACAACAAAATTATGCAATCATGCTATCTATGCACCATGTCTAGCATGGACATGCATGCACCGGATCGTGAATACCCCTCATAATTTCCTAAATGTTAAAATACAAAGCATCCACGTTGTTGTTATAGTATCTTCTAAGAGCATACAGATCGCCAAAAAAAGTTTTTGGGAAATCTGCTGGCGTGACATTGTCCAGAAAAAACTCTGGGTCGTTCCGAGTACGTACATCCGACTACCATGGGTACGTACAAAATATTAGGATCTTCATTCTGGTTGTTGGTGTTTCCGACAGGGTAGGAGTATGATGTATTGTGGTACGATTTTCCGTCATCCCTTGTCAAATTAGTTTTGAAGATATACTGGTTTTGGCGGTTTATATAAATATAACCACAGCAGGATACAATTCCCAAGGAAGTTGCGTAAGCAGGACATATTAAACTGCTTTTATTTAGAAATAGGGAACAACTGATGTTTTGTATTTTTAAACTTAGAAATTTAGCGATAATTTTTAATAGTTTTGCCAATCAACATACACAGTAGAAAATTTTAAAAGTATATAATTCAATATACATACATATGTATCATATGTCCATACAGAAACCTAAATGTTTAAACAATTGTGAAAATAAGGGAAATAGTATTAACTAAATAAGGAAACCAACTGAAACTTAATTCGATATTTTAGTTGTACATGTTATATTCAAGTTGTTTAACTTAGTTGGCAAGCACATTATTTATATGTATTACAACCAATTCGTTTTGAAATCCTCTTCTCTTTTCTGAGCTTTGCACAAGCTTTAATTTTTATGTAGCAGCTTCTCGTCAGCTGTTTATAATATTAATTATTCATAAATTTTTAGTAGTTAATAATAGCAAAGTACAAATGAATAGGTAGCCGAGTTTACGTATTATGAGCATTATTTGCTCGCATATACGAGCCGTACTAACGCATATTCGTGAAAAGTGGGGAAAATTAAGTATTTCAAACTTAAGAAGGTTTAGAATAAATTACGTCTTATATGTATTTCATGAATTCGTGATATAAAAAGGTTGTTGATTCGTTATGAGCAATATATAAGTGATTGTTTTAGGCAAACGAAAGAAATTTAGAAATTAAGAGTATCCAGCACTAAAGGTTTACAAAGCAGTATGGACTAACGTAATCCCCTTTGTACTTTTGCCTCAAATGCAATTACATTTAAAATAGTAAATTATTAAAAATATGCATAGCATCAGCAAATTTTGATTATGATTCTTCTTCATGATGCTTATGATCGATACGAACTTAAGTTTCTCTGTTTTTTTCGCTAGCACAGTACTTCTCTTTTTTATTAATAAAATTGATTATAAGTATCGCACTGGACATCGTTAATTGATATTAACAAAAAAAATAATATAAATAAAACGAATAACAAATGTTCAAATATATATAAGCAGAATTCAGCTACTTACCTTTGGAAATTTTGACGCTTTACGTAATTCTCACGAACGAATTCAATTATCTGCTTTTGTGTTTTACCACTGTAACTGTAAAATTTAATACGATGGTTTACCTTAGTTATATTAAAAAGATTACTACATTTAACTTACCGGAAGGAACTGCCACGCGAGAGAACGCGTGCCTTTCGTCTGGGCTGATTCTGCACTGCAGCACAGCGGAAGAAACCATGATTTTCTACGCATTTCTTCCAAAAGTTTTTGCACTCATTACGCCCCTCAAAGAAAAATTCCACAGTGTCTTTATAATAACCCTGAGAAAATTTAGAATGTCAAGAATTACACATACTACATGTGTATGTACATGCACACGAATAATCTATGGTCACCACCACTTACATATCCTTCGGGATGTAGTTTTACTAGGAATCGTTTGCGCTTGAACGATATCTTTCGTATTTTCGCCCATGAAAAGGTATTGATGCGTGTGATATTTTGGAAGACAGCAATGCCCATATGAGCTACAGCTAAGTTAAGTGGAACGCCCTCTACATCCTTCGCTGGATGCATTTTCATTCCATATAGTTCACAGCGTCTAGCCGTTTCCAGAAGATTCAAATCCGCCTCAGCAGGGGACTGGCCGCTATCAAAGTCAAATAAAATATAATTAAACCGGAATACTCATATATTAAAATAGTTTCGATATTTTATCTGATTGCTTACAAAATGGTTTCCTATATCCGAATAAAGTCTGCGACATCGACACAGATTTTTGTAAAAACACGATGTTTTGCAACAAAATCGAGTATTCAAAAATCGATATAGTCTAACAAAACATAGGGAAAGCGTCGTCTTCAATAACTGTTCGTCAAATTGGACATAACGCTTTTGTATAAGTCTTATCTGCATGCTTTTTAATACGTTTAAAACATTGCTGCAAAACCTTAAAATATTTCCATGGAACCATGGCGAACAGGTGAGGTAATAAAAAAGCTTTCTCGCTTTATTTCTTGACATTCGGCTGCCTTATAGTCAAATTTTAAAGGCAATTTTTCAAATAAGACAGTGTCGAAATCTTTCTTCTCGCTCTAATTACTTTATATGGTATAATTCCGCCATNAATTTTTCAAATAAGACAGTGTCGAAATCTTTCTTCTCGCTCTAATTACTATATGGTATAATTCCGCCAATGCATGGAACAAACAAACGTTGCAGTTCCTGTTCGCAGCATGTTTTGAGTTTTATCTTCAGTTAAAATTTCTGCATTATCATCACTTGCTTCACTATATCCGAACTGTGGATTTCGTTTACGAAGGCGAAGCAAACATGCGGTACGAAATAGTTATGTAAAAATATGTAAAATTTTACCTACTCTCATACTTCTAAATTTGAACGTATACTCGGTACAAGCAGGTGGGATGAATGGCTCAATAAACAGGTGAAGTAATAAAACAGCTTCTAGCTTTATTTTCTGGCATATTTTATAGGCAAAATTTCAAATAAGGCAGTGACAAAATCTTCTTCTTCCACGATGGGTGGGATGCATGCCATAACACCATACGCAATAATTTCCATTACTTGGACATTAAAAAGCAGTTTCAGAAGTGAACTAGTGTCATTTTATTATTATTTTTTGTAAAAGGTTATAATGCCACCAGTGCATAACTGCGTAAGGAGGGGTGGTGGGCGAACGCGGACCGCCACGACGCTGGGCACTTTCAAAGTTGTATACTTACAAATCCGTCCATTTAACTTGTTCATGTACTACATTTTGTCAAATGTAACTGGGTGACTACATATGTGCACTATTTTGCAGTATTCCTCAATTTTTAAGTTAAAAAGTTGGTCTTATTGCTCAACGAGAAAGCAAATTTGTGTTATTTCACATTCTTCCTTTGGCTACTTAATGCACATTTATGAAGGTAGGACAGTGGTTTAAGCTTTTTCTATTCCTCTTTGATTCTATTTCTAGCTCTTCATTTATTTTTAACGTTTTAAGTTAATTTCTCTTTACATATTTTTGCGGATATAGTGTAGAAAACTTAACGCGCAATCATTTTATACATTAATCATTGTATTAAACATGCATGCTTGCCTAGCCTACTTTAATTTGCTTTGATTTACTTTGAAAACTTGTTTGGCCTGATGGCGGCTTTGAACGCTGTCAAAGCAACTTGCTTGTGGTTTAAAAGTCAAGCCTGTTTCCTTAACGTTAGGAATTACTTTCCCACGAAATTCCAGAAAATTAAAATAAATACATATAAGTGCATACATATCGTTACTTTAACATAAAAAGGCCCTATCTCAAATCGTCGCTGAAATACAAAAGGTCGTAACTGAGTAAAAATCCAAAATTCCCTTGTTGATTGATTATGATGCATTTCATTCAATTATAAGTCCCCACATCATTTTAAGGCAATACAAAATTATAGACAGTTAGGCTTTTTTGCACTTCAGCGACTATATGAGCTAGGGCCTTTCCAACTTATCACTCTAAGTTAGCGATATGTTAAATAAATCATCGATGTCTTTGCAAAACCGCCCATCGACCAGTTGCGAAACCGCCTAAATCGCCGTTATGGCAAAAATGAGATTTGGTAACCCTGAACTTCAGGCATTGAGATTTATGTATAAAAATCGTTAAATATTATTTGTAAAATAATAGCTAGAGATGCTTTCCATTTCCAGACAACCGGTCAGGTACGAGCATGATTTTTAATTTCGACCAAACTCAAATACATTGTTTGTTGGGCCAAATAATGAGACACGTATTTTTTCTTTTGCCTCGGAAAAATTTTTCGGCCGAATTAAACGCGATTTTGTTTTTCAGGCAAAAATCGACTTTTCGAATTGACAGTGAGAATGTTTTTTTAAAATGCCCATAACTTTGTCAAAATTTAATAGATTCCAACAATGTTTTTACTCAACAGTCTGTATATATGTATGTAATATATCAGCAAAAAGTACAGCCGTGATCATTTTTTGTGTATCAAATAGATATTAGAACACACTTTCCACCATACAGTTTCGAAATACAAAATCACATTTTCCCGCTTTTTATAATAGAAACTGTATGGTGGAAAGTGTGTTCTAATATCTATTTGATACACAAAAAAT